AAGTTATCAGGTATTATATGTTAATATACAAAGTGTGGGTAAAGTGAAGTTATCAGATATTATATGTCACCATACAAAGTGTGGGTAAAGTGAAGTTATCAGGTATTATAGGTCACTATACAAAGTGTGGGTAACGTGAAGTTATCAGATATTATATGTCACTATATAAAGTGTGGATAAAGTGTGGGTAAAGTGTGGGTAAAGTGAGGTTATCAGGTAGTATATGTTACTATACAAAGTGTTGGTAAAGTGAAGTTATCAGATATTATATGTCACTATACAAAGTGTGTGTAAAGTAAAGTTATCAGGTATTATATGTTACTATACAAAGTGTGGGTAAAGTGAAGTTATCAGATATTATATGTTACTATACAAAGTGTGGGTAAAGTGTGGGTAAAGTGAAGTTATCAGGTATTATATGTTAATATACAAAGTGTGGGTAAAGTGAAGTTATCAGATATTATATGTCACTATACAAAGTGTGGGGTAAGTGAAGTTATCAGATATTATATGTCACTGTACAAAGTGTGGGTAAAGTGAAGTTATAAGATATTATATGTCACTATACAAAGTGTGGGTAAAGTGTGGGTAAAGTGAACTTATCAGATATTATATGTCATTATACAACGTGTGGGTAAAGTGAAGTTATCATATATTATATGTCACGATATAAAGTGTGGTTAAGATGTGGGTAAAGTGAAGTTATCAGGTAGTATATGTCACTATACAAAGTGTGGGTAACGTGAAGTTATCAGGTATTATAGTCACTATACAAAGTGTGGGTAACGTGAAGTTATCAGATATTATATGTTACTATACAAAGTGTGGGTAAAATGAAGTTATCAGGTATTATATTTCACTATAAAAAGATACGTGTACGTCATACTACGCTTACCCGGTACATTGTTGTCAGATCGTGGTCCTAAATGTATCAAGTGAAATTATCAGGTATTATATGTTACTATACAAAGTGTGGGTAAAGGGTGGGTAAAGCGAAGTTATCAGATATAATATGTCATTATACAAAGTGTGGGTAAAGTGGAGTTATCAGATATTATATGTCATTATACAAAGTGTGGGTAAGTGAAGTTATCAGATATTATATGTCATTATACAACGTGTGGGTAAAGTGAAGTTATCGGGTATTATATGTCACTAAACAAAGCGTGGGTAAAGTGAAGTTATCATATATTATATGTCACGATATAAAGTGTGGTTAAGATGTGGGTAAAGTGAAGTTATCGGGTATTATATGTCACTAAACAAAGCGTGGGTAAAGTGAAGTTATCATATATTATATGTCACGATATAAAGTGTGGTTAAGATGTGGGTAAAGTGAAGTTATCATATATTATATGTCACGATATAAAGTGTGGTTAAGATGTGGGTAAAGTGAAGTTATCGGGTATTATATGTCACTAAACAAAGCGTGGGTAAAGTGAAGTTATCAGGTATGATATGTCACTAAACAAAGCGTGGGTAAAGTGAAGTTATCAGATATTATATGTTACTATACAAAGTGTGGGTAAAATGAAGTTATCAGATATTATATGTTACTATACAAAGTGTGGGTAAAGGGTGGGTAAAGCGAAGTTATCAGATATAATATGTCATTATACAAAGTGTGGGTAAGTGAAGTTATCAGATATTTTATGTCACTATACAAAGTGTGGGGTAAGGGAAGTTATCAGATATTATATGTTACTATACAAAGTGTGGGTAAAATGAAGTTATCAGATATTATATGTTACTATACAAAGTGTGGGTAAAATGAAGTTATCAGATATTATATGTTACTATACAAAGTGTGGGTAAAGTGGAGTTATCAGATATTATATGTCATTATACAAAGTGTGGGTAAGTGAAGTTATCAGATATTATATGTTACTATACAAAGTGTGGGTAAAATGAAGTTATCAGGTATTATAGTCACTATACAAAGTGTGGGTAACGTGAAGTTATCAGGTATTATAGTCACTATACAAAGTGTGGGTAAAATGAAGTTATCAGATATTATATGTCATTATACAAAGTGTGGGTAAAGTTAGGTTATTAGATATTATATGTCACTATACAAAGTTTGGGTAAAGTGAAGTTATCAGATATTATATGTTACTATACAAAGTGTGGGTAAAGTTAGGTTATTAGATATTATATGTCACTATACATGGTGTGGGTAAAGTGAAGTTATCAGATATTATATGTTACTATACAAAGTGTGGGTAAAATGAAGTTATCAGGTATTATAGGTCACTATACAAAGTGTGGGTAAAGTTAGGTTATTAGATATTATATGTCACTATACAAAGTGGGGGTAAAGTGTGGGTAAAGTGTCGGTAAAGTGAAATTATCAGGTATTATATGTTACTATACAAAGTGTGGGTAAAGGGTGGGTAAAGCGAAGTTATCAGATATAATATGTCATTATACAAAGTGTGGGTAAAGTTAGGTTATTAGATATTATATGTCACTATACAAAGTTTGGGTAAAGTGAAGTTATCAGATATTATATGTCACCATACAAAGTGTGGGTCAAGTGAAGTTATCAGGTATTATATGTTAATATACAAAGTGTGGGTAAATTGTGGGTAAAGTGAAGTTATCGGGTATTATATGTCACTAAACAAAGCGTGGGTAAAGTGAAGTTATCATATATTATATGTCACGATATAAAGTGTGGTTAAGATGTGGGTAAAGTGAAGTTATCGGGTATTATATGTCACTAAACAAAGCGTGGGTAAAGTGAAGTTATCATATATTATATGTCACGATATAAAGTGTGGTTAAGATGTGGGTAAAGTGAAGTTATCATATATTATATGTCACGATATAAAGTGTGGTTAAGATGTGGGTAAAGTGAAGTTATCATATATTATATGTCACGATATAAAGTGTGGTTAAGATGTGGGTAAAGTGAAGTTATCGGGTATTATATGTCACTAAACAAAGCGTGGGTAAAGTGAAGTTATCATATATTATATGTCACGATATAAAGTGTGGTTAAGATGTGGGTAAAGTGAAGTTATCGGGTATTATATGTCACTAAACAAAGCGTGGGTAAAGTGAAGTTATCATATATTATATGTCACGATATAAAGTGTGGTTAAGATGTGGGTAAAGTGAAGTTATCGGGTATTATATGTCACTAAACAAAGCGTGGGTAAAGTGAAGTTATCATATATTATATGTCACGATATAAAGTGTGGTTAAGATGTGGGTAAAGTGAAGTTATCGGGTATTATATGTCACTAAACAAAGCGTGGGTAAAGTGAAGTTATCATATATTATATGTCACGATATAAAGTGTGGTTAAGATGTGGGTAAAGTGAAGTTATCATATATTATATGTCACGATATAAAGTGTGGTTAAGATGTGGGTAAAGTGAAGTTATCATATATTATATGTCACGATATAAAGTGTGGTTAAGATGTGGGTAAAGTGAAGTTATCGGGTATTATATGTCACTAAACAAAGCGTGGGTAAAGTGAAGTTATCATATATTATATGTCACGATATAAAGTGTGGTTAAGATGTGGGTAAAGTGAAGTTATCGGGTATTATATGTCACTAAACAAAGCGTGGGTAAAGTGAAGTTATCAGATATTATATGTCACTGTACAAAGTGTGGGTAAAGTGAAGTTATAAGATATTATATGTCACTGTACAAAGTGTGGGTAAAGTGAAGTTATCGGGTATTATATGTCACTAAACAAAGCGTGGGTAAAGTGAAGTTATCATATATTATATGTCACGATATAAAGTGTGGTTAAGATGTGGGTAAAGTGAAGTTATCATATATTATATGTCACGATATAAAGTGTGGTTAAGATGTGGGTAAAGTGAAGTTATCGGGTATTATATGTCACTAAACAAAGCGTGGGTAAAGTGAAGTTATCAGATATTATATGTCATTATACAACGTGTGGGTAAAGTGAAGTTATAAGATATTATATGTCACTGTACAAAGTGTGGGTAAAGTGAAGTTATAAGATATTATATGTCACTGTACAAAGTGTGGGTAAAGTGAAGTTATAAGATATTATATGTCACTGTACAAAGTGTGGGTAAAGTGAAGTTATAAGATATTATATGTCACTGTACAAAGTGTGGGTAAAGTGAAGTTATAAGATATTATATGTCACTATACAAAGTGGGGGTAAAGTGTGGGTAAAGTGAAGTTATAAGATATTATATGTCACTATACAAAGTGTGTGTAAAGTGTGGGTAAAGTGAAGTTATCGGGTATTATATGTCACTAAACAAAGCGTGGGTAAAGTGAAGTTATCAGGTAGTATATGTAACTATACAAAGTGTGGGTAAAGGGTGGGTAAAGCGAAGTTATCAGATATAATATGTCATTATACAAAGTGTGGGTAAGTGAAGTTATCAGATATTTTATGTCACTATACAAAGTGTGTGTAAAGTGTGGGTAAAGTGAACTTATCAGATATTATATGTCATTATACAACGTGTGGGTAAAGTGAAGTTATCGGGTATTATATGTCACTAAACAAAGCGTGGGTAAAGTGAAGTTATCAGGTATTTTATGTCAATATACAAAATGTGGGTAACGTGAAGTTATCAGGTATTATATGTTAATATACAAAGTGTGGGTAAAGTGAAGTTATCGGGTATTATATGTCACTAAACAAAGCGTGGGTAAAGTGAAGTTATCAGATATTATATGTCACTATACATAGTGTGGGTAAAGTGAAGTTATCAGGTATTATATTTCACTATAAAAAGATACGTGTACGGCATACTACGCTTACCCGGTACATTGTTGTCAGATCGTGGTCCTAAATGTATCCTCCTGTGATATGGGCAAGACAGAGCAACTGTCAGTAAACTAAGAAGCAGTATCACAAAGAGCATTTGGTTGTTCTGTTGTGTCATATTTTGGCTTGGACTGTAGTTTGTTCTAAAGTCGGTTTAGTTTCTGAAACATAAAAAAAATTACGACACATTTTATTATATCGCAACATAGCAGGTTATTTTGTAAAATTCGAAATGGTAGCATACACTGTACTGCATTTGTAAACACAGGTTGTTCGGAACATCAGTTCACCATTTGTAAACACAGATTGTTCGGAACATCAGTTCATCATTTGTAAACACAGGTTGTTCGGAACACCAGTTCACCATTTGTAAACACAGATTGTTCGGAACATCAGTTCACCATTTGTAAACAGAGGTTGTTCGGAACACCAGTTCAACATTTGTAAACACAGATTGTTCGGAACATCAGTTCACCATTTGTAAACAGAGGTTGTTCGGAACACCAGTTCACCATTGGTAAACACAGATTGTTCGGAACACCAGTTCACCATTTGTCTTTAACACACAGGTAACAAAACAAACCACATCAACACTTAGTCAACTACGAAATCAACTCGTGACAAAATACAAACCCACAGACACTGTTTAAAAAACAACAGAAACGGAGAAAATACAGAGTTGTGTTGTACAAAAAAATCAGATACACATTTATTAGTCTCCTGCAAAGCCTAAATGATCGTGCTATTTCATGTCAAATCCATGACAGGAGGTGAAATTGTATATCAATGTAGACGTACTCGGACGATTGCAAGAGATAAGGGATCTGTATCACTTCAATGTTCGAGTATCTATTACAGAATACGCGCTATTTATATTTCGATAGTCTCAATCTCTTTCTTTTTAAAATACACAAATTGGCGTAAATTGTCTGGCTATTCTACAACTCATATTCCCCCAAAGGATTGTTACTGTGGTTTTAATGAAATTATAGTTAAAGTCTGCGGATGATCATATAACGTGACTGGAACGTTGATAGCTGTGACTTTTGATTACCGGTGTCCGTGTGTACTCATTGGCGCCCAAACAGTCTAAGTGATGGCATCGTTATCTGACATCTAGTGGCCCCACTCTACATTAACAAGCAGTTACCCACAGCCGTTGTGTGCATAACAAGTGTAGTTTATTTAAGTACCAAATTATATTAAAATTCGATCAAATATCAACGAAAATACCTTACCGACTGTTTAAAGTTCGGTGGCAAGGCACAGCTTTAAACAACACGATATCAAAGCAGCCTTACTAAGAATTCATCCCCCTTTTTTAAAATTGATTTAGTATGTCATATTTAAGTATGTGTAAGGTACAAATATTATAATTATATAAATAAAAATGAAAAAAAACCCCTCTTAAACAAAAAACAAAACAGTTAGCGCTTAAATCATTAAAACACATTAGAAAGCAGATGCCGAGCAATTTCTAAAACAAAATGCAGCAACAGTAAGCAAGAGGTCTCTTAAACAAAACACAGAACAAGTACCGAGAAAGCATTAAAACAAAATCTCAGAACAAGTACCGAGAAAGCATTAAAACATAGGACCTACGGACACTGAATAAAAAAGACAACAAAAATGAAGGGAACACTAAAATGTTAAAAGACAACAAAAATGGAAGGAACACTAAAAAGTAAGATCAAAACACGAACCGTACGGACACCGAATAAAAATAAAGACAACAAAAATGGAGGGAACACTAAAATGTTAAAAGACAACAAAAATTGAGGGAACACTAAAAAGTAAGATCCAAACACGAACCGTGCGGACATTGAATAAAAAACAGATTATGTGTTTCTTTAGAAAACACCTTGTGTTAATACTGTATCTTCACCGTCATGTTTTAAGGTGCTACGAAAGCATCACTGACTGTTAATATCTGCCATCTCCGAGATCTGGACCAAAGCAACAAATAAAAGACTACTTACTCGCATTAAAGCTCCACCAAAATGTGGCCAGAATATCAACATGTTACATTGTATGATACAATAAAGATCAATTGGCAGGCATGTGAATACAGAGAGTATTAGCTGTGGTGAGTCCTACCTTAGATAGAAGACCCTGTTGTCCCTGCCGATGGAATGATTTCCCCTTTGGCAAGCGCTGTTTTATACTTACTATAGTTTTAGACACGCCATGTGACAAACAATCATCCAATAGCACAACCAATTTTTTCACAGAATTGTGTTTGAAATTTGAGTAACAAAGGTGAAGTACAGAGCGGGATTTGTAACGTGATATCCAAGGTTGGGTGTTAGCCACATCATTTAAATTCTGAGAGACAGATAGACGCTCGCTACCTATCATGTGAAAAACCAATGCACTATTGGCAGCAATGCGCGTACATCATGCTGCTTATTATATCAATAACGGATCATACTATTTCATATACCCACCAACGTGTTATTGTTAACAGCGTGAACTATTTGTTTAACAGTTAAGTACGTACTCAGCTCGGTTACTGACCACAGTTGTTTCAAGTTTTATTTTTACACTCACGCCACACGTATACGTGCGTAACAAGAGGTCACATAATACATAGTATACATTGATGGACATAGTACTCACATAATATGACACATGATACAATTTATACAATAACAACCCATTTCAATAATAGTCTGCCTCGGATCTCAGAAAATATGACTTGCGTTGGCAAGTTAATTTGTTAATGCTCGTCAGCGATCCTATTTGTAAAGTTTAATATATATCAAAACACGCTAGGGGAGCTGTCACCCCCTATTTGTTGAAAAAACGATATTAAATAGGTCAAAAGGTCATTAGGTGCATTTTAACCGTTTTATGGAAATATTCGAGCATTGTTCCTATTAACATGTATCAGTTTCAAACCTCACAAAAAATATTGCTAACACCAACGCTTTGTTTTGCTGGAATGATAACATGCAAAAGAGCTGACACACAACTTTTATTTCAACAAAAAAGTAAAGTTATTGGTTATTGTAGCACTGAATTGCGCAATAGAAGGGACTGATCCGAACACAAGTGAATAAATCAAATAATTAAATGTAAAGGTTCGACCTAAAACACCTCTATCCACATCTATATAACACATACTTCAACATATACAACCAAAGATCCTCATTGATGCGATATTTGTTTTATATATGTACGGCTAATCACAAAAAATAATATAAGCAAACTATGGAATTCCCCAATATTTAGTCATCTTCATTCCCAACAGGATTGGCACATCCTGATGCCTCACATTTACATTCAAACATGCAAATCTGCCCAGACTGATAACAATTGCATCTTGATGTGCTGCATTTTGTAGTGCATCCACATGCATCCAACTGCAAACAGGAGACAGGTACCGTGGGTTTACTCATCCAAACTGGTTTCAGTACACACGACTCTATAACCCAACAGCCTATATTTGTTGGATCCTCTGGCTCGAAATCTGCATCAGCTGCTTTCATCCAGATCATTGCTTGATAAGCTGCTCTCTTAACGTGTAACGCGAATGCATCTTTAGTTGGCGGAAGCAGCTCTAAAGACTTCCTGTCTTTTAAGAATAGTCGGTATCGGCAGACATCAATACTGGGTTCATGGGTTTCGAGATTGCATCCACAAAGACCACACATGAATTTCTTAACATTACCGATATCTCCACCGTGGCCAATAGGAGATAGAAGTACAGGGTCTTCACAAAACATTTTCCAACATGCCTTTTTACTTATTCCCGAAAAGGAAGATGTGGTGTCGCATCCTGTCAGAGCGTGAAATGCGAGAATGTTTGCTTTTACATCAGCAGTTAATTTCTGCGATATAACATGTACCGGAAAGCACCTCTTGTTCTTTGATGTTCCAGACGCAATCCATGTTTCAATTTCGCAGCCCAAATGGTAGATTAGTAGGAGCAAAACATCTGTATCACGACACTGAACAACCACTCGTTCATATCCCCTTGTAAT